GGTGGCACATGCCTGTAATCCCAGTTTCCCAAGAGACTGAAGCAGGAGAATCACTTGAACCTGGGAAGCAGAGGTTATTGTGAGCCAAGATTGTGCCACTGCACTCCAGCCTGGGTGATGGAGCCAGACTCCACCTCAAAAAAAAAAAAAAAAAAGGTTTGGAGCCCATTGCTCTAACCTCCTGGGCTTTTCCTTGCTCCTGCCACCTCTGACACGCCACCACGTTTGTGATCAAGCATTGTTCTAGCAGAGTAGGATTTCTCTATTTTTCTACCCATTCCCAGACCCCATGGGAATACCTCTGTCCACAGAGCCCAGCACGAGGGCTGTCTCCAGCTGGGCACTTGGAAAATGTGGGTGGAGTGAATGCGCTCCAGTTTTCCCCTCACATCGTGGGGGCTGCTGATGCTCTGCGGGCCTTTCTAGCAGAAGAGACCTAAGGTCTGCCATCATTCCCAGCCTAAAGCACTCTCTGGAGAAACACAGTTCACCTTTCAAAGCTGTGAGTCCAGGAGAGCCTTGATAAGACCGCTGAGCCCTGAGCTCACAATTATAAGGCCTTTCTTTCCTAACCATCTTTGGAATTTGTCCCTCCACAGACGAGTTTCCACTATTACTTAGAGCAACACAGATAAGGAACAAAAATGTTTGGTACTGTATCCAGTATAGGAGGACAGGACTCTGTTCTGTGTTTTAGCGCACTCTTTTGGACTGGGAGGCTGGAGACCTGGATCTTGTTCCTGCTTCTGCCCTGTGTGGGTGGCCTTTGGCATGCTGACTCCGTTTCCTCTCTCTGTACCCCATGATCTCTTGGGGTCTGGCTAGTGCTGTTTTTCTGAGATGTGACATCGGGAATCCTTTTGGGGACCCGCTCTACTGAGCAGTTCTCAGCCCCCATCTGCAGAGTTCGAGTACGACCCGGAAGACAGGGACAGCTTGGAGCATATGGGCAACCAAAATGGGGAGGACGTGGGAAACCAAGTCACACAAGAAACTCCCCAACCCTGAGTGGAGCCATCCCAGGGACCTGACTCAAGAGGTCTTCGATCTCTGGAAGGCTGTCGTGGGGCAGAAGCAATGGATGTGGCTGGCGGGGCTTCAGGAACAGATAGGGCAGTGGGGAAAATGGTAGATTTCTGTTCAGTAGATGCGAGGAAGTCCACCGGTTGAGCATGTCTTTCCCCAGCAGGGGTGAGCTCCCCATCGCTAGACTGGTACGAGCCAAAACCCTCAGACTCTTCAAATGGGGTGCTGGAGAAAGAAGAGCAGAATTCTGGGGTATTGTATTTGGTGCTTGCCCCTAGATGTAATAAAATTCTTCGGGAGAGAGTTAGTGGGTCTGGCTAAAAATTGAAGAATTAGAGTTTTAGATTCTAAATCAGCACTCATGGGTTGATAAGGGGCACAAGGCTTTCTCTGCTTTCATTCGGTTCAGAGGGTTTTGGTGCTTCCCAGCACAGGTGACACCCCTCACCCCTCCCCTGAATGTGTAGATCTTTAGATATTGCTGCTTTGAGGAAAAATAAAGGACCATGAACACTTTGTGCTTCATAGTTTAATCTGTAAGCCCTGTTCAAAGCCCATATTCATTTTTATTAAATGTTCATTTCAATCCATGAGTGCAGGTAAATAACTTAGGACAGTGCCTGGCTCACAGTGAGTACTCAATAAAGGTTACCATTATTTACTTGTTTGGAGTTTAGTTATTTAACAGATACTTACTTTGAGTTTACCATGTGCCAGGCTGGGTTCTAAGTGCTTGACAGATATTAACTCATTTATTGTTATCATCCCCATTTTATGGATGAGAAAACCTAAGTCCAAGAGAGGTAGATAACCGGCCCAATGTCTCCCAGCTGGTGTGTGGTACGGCTGATGTCTGAGCCCGGCAGGCGGGTTCCCAACCATGTCAGTAGCCACTGTGCTGCTGCCTCTCCATGCAATTGTGTCGTGTAATAAATAAACCAGCCCCTCTGCATCCATTCTCCCTCAGAGCCCCTCTGCATCCATTCTCCCTCAGAGCCCCTCTGCATCCATTCTCCCTCAGAGCCCCTCTGCATCCATTCTCCCTCAGAGCCTCCCTATAGCCTCCGGAGGGCGACAGGCAGGGATGCTCCTGCCCATTTAATGGGTTGAGACACTGGAGCCCAGAGAGAGGCTTTCACAGCATCACACAGCAAAAGGGGCAGAGCCTACTGGAGCCAGGTCACTGACCTTGGAATATCTATGTGCCCTCCCTGCACAGAGCAGGGCTCCCCGCTGAAGGCCAGTGGGAGTTGGTGCTAATTAGGGGGGCCCTGGTCCCTCAAGGGGCCCTTCCTTCACCGGGAGGAGGGAGGTTGGTGGGAAGAGCCACGACTCTGCCAGGGGCCTGGGGAAATATCGTCCAGGCATGTCCTGAAGCAGGGAGGCTCCTGGTGTCTGGGGAAATAGCAAGGCCTCCTTACCCTACCAAGCCCCTCTGCTGGGCCCCTGGCAGAGATGGCCCTGAATAGCCAGGAGTGAAAGGGGAAGCAGACAGGGAGGGCCATCCCGCACCCCACCCCCTGCTTTTGAAGTCACATCAGGGACCAACTCTAAGGTCAAGGGTCGGAAGGGGCTAAAAGAAGTAGGAGCTCCGAGGAAGTCAACATGGAAGCAGAGCTGTAGCTGCCAGGGAGTTCAGGAAAGCTGTGGGCTGATACCTAGGTGCTATTATTTCTCTTTTCTTTATTTTTTTAATGATGGTGATATATACATACCAAAGTTTACCATTTTAACCATTTTTAAGTATAAAATTCCATGGCATGATGTACATGCCCATTGTGCAGCCATCTATGTTAGTCCACTCTCACACTGCTATAACAACATACATACCTGAGACTGGGTAATTTATAAAGGAAAGAGGTTTAATTGACTCACAGTTCCACATGACTGGGGAGCCTCAGGAAACTTACAATCATCACGGAAGGTGAAGGGGAAGCTGGCACCTTCTTCACAGGGCTGCAGGAGAGAGATAACTCACAGGGGAAACTGCCGCTTTTCAACCATCAGATCTCATGAGAACTCCCTTAGTAACATGAGAACGAGCTGGGGGAAACCGCCCCCATGATTCAATCACCTCTCACCAGGTCCCTCCCTCCACACGAGGGGATTACAATTCGAGGTGAGATTTGGGTAGGGACACAGAGCCAAACCATATCACCATCACTGCCAAGATTTTTACATTTTGACCTCACAGTAGTAGCCTACTCTATTCTTTAATGTTTTTGTTTACATGTGTCAATGAAGAGCCTATGTTCAGACTGAAATATATTTGACAAAACAGGAACGTACATGTAGGAGACTAACACCTGGCTGGGCCCTTGTCAAGCACTGCTCTGAGGCATTTTATATGAATGAACAATTCCTTGATAAGGTAGGTGCCATCATGGACCCCGGTTTACAGCTTAGGAAACTGAGGCACAGAGAGGTTTAGGAAAGCTACTCAAATGCTTGCCTTGGCCCACTGGTTGCTGCCATTTCTTGAGAACTTTACCATGGGCCAGGGCTACACGCTCTTTTTTTTATTTTTGAGGGGGGGTGGTGGGGGTAGGGGGACAGAGTTTCGCTCTTGTTGCCCAGGCTGGAGTGCAGTGACGCAATCTCGGCTCACCACAACCTCTGCCTCCCAGGTTCAAGCGATTCTCCTGCCTCAGCCTCCCAAGTAACTGGGATGACAGGCATGCGCCACCATGCCCAGCTCATTTTGTATTTTTAGTAGAGACGGGGTTTCTCCATGTTGGTCAGGCTAGTCTCGAACTCCCGACCTCAGGTGATCCACCCGCCTCGGCCTCCCAAAGTGCTGGAATTACAGGCATGAGCCGCTGCACCCGGACCAAGGGCTACATGCTCTGCTCCTTGCTCATCTCATAGCAACGTGGCGATGTGGTACCGAGACTTAGAGAAGGGAAGTGAGTCTGGATTTGGATCCACGTTTCTCTGACTCTGAAGCCCGTATCTTAAGCACGTGTACTGGGCTGCGAAGCTGTTATGGGACAGCAGACACAATAGGTGGGTTTTGTTTCAGCTGTGGAGCACCACGAGAAGGAGGACGGAGAGGATTGGGACTCCCGGTTCTGGAGTGCTGGCCTCAGAGCATGCAATTTATATATTGAGAAGAAGACTTAAAAGCCAAGGAGCAGAGCCACAGTGGCCACCAAGTTGGGGGGTGGTTGAGTGCTCATGGAGCTCTTGGAGTTTGGACAGGATTTCCTGCTGCTTATTAATCACGTAACCTCAGAAAACTGACGCCGCTGCTCTGCCGAGTGTCCCGGCCACACTCACAAAGTGGAGATGATCCTCCGCACCCCCAGGTGGTTGTGAGGGGTAAACTGAGCAATAGTTGTGAATCACAGAGCTGGGCTGTATAGCAGTAGTTCTCAAAGAGTGGCCTCTGGGCCAGAGGCTTCCTAGTCACCGGGAACTTGGTTGGAAGTGCAGATTCTCAGCTCTCACCCACGCTGCTGAATCAGAAACTCTAGGGTGGGGCCCAACAATGGGGGTTGGTTTGTTTGTTTGTTTTTTGTAGAGACAGAATCACTGTGTTGCCCAGGCTAGTCTGGAACTCCTGGCCCTAAGCGATCCTCCCACCTCAGCCTCCTAAAGTGCTGGGTCACAAGCGTGAGCCACCGCCTGGGTTTGTTTTTTTCCAGCCCTCCAGGTGCTCTGAGCACCCTCAGATGCTCTGCTGTGACACAGCAGGCAAACACATGTAAATGCGATGGGGCCACCTGTCCTCACAGCCAGTCTTGCAGGCAGAAGTGCCTTTCCCGCAGGGGCACTGACATCTTTCCTCCACTCTTTTCATCCTCATAAACCCAGACTGCTGGCACTGGAAATCTGAAAAGGGCAATCAGTCTGGCCTCCTGCCTTTCTGGCCTGCAGGCCCAGCCTGAACAAACAATTTAGGTGGAGCTCCTGGAGGTTGGAGGCAGAGAAGAGGTACCTGGCCATCCTCTCCTGCCAGCTGTTGCAGACTCTGCCTGGGGAACCGATTACGGGTGAGCAGAGGCATTTATCTCCATGTTAACAAGCAGGCGAGAGAGTAGCAGAAGAGAACTTCCCATCTCCTTCCCGCTGTGGGGCCGAGCTTGGAAGTGGGGCACGGGGTCGAGCTCAGAAGTGGGGTGTGGGGCTGAGCTCAGAAGTGCGGTGTGGGACTGCCAGTATCTGCAGGAGCAGGCAGGCCCTCAGTCGTATGTGGGGACTCTTGTCGCAGGGCAGTCACACCCTTTTCCTCCTGAGTCCAAGCACAGAAGGCCTCAGAATTCTGCCCCTCCTCCTCACGGGGTTCTGCAACCCCTCCAGCCCACTGGAGCTGGACATAAAATGAAACCCACTAATTTCTTCCTTAGATACCAGCCCAAAGTTGAGGAAAGAAAATCGTTTCCCAAGCTCAATGTCCTAACTTCCTAATTGCAGGGGTTAAGTCGACTTCGACTCTGACCATGTCACACCCCCAGTTACAAACTTCGATGCCTCCCCACTGTCTCAGGTGCTACCTCCTCAGCACTGCGCCTCCAGCCTCTCTCCCAGTGGCAGCCCCATTACTGGCCTGCATTTGCTCAGACCCAGCCTCCCCACCCCAGCGCAGCAAGCTCCTGGCTCCATCTCCGTACACCACAGCCAGGCGTGACCTAGCACAGCACTTCTACCCCAGTGCCTCCGTTTCCCTCCTCTGCTGGGCTTGCTCTACTTGACCTTGAAGGCTCAGCTCAGTCGTATCCTCCCGGGGACCCTCTCTAACTCCCCAGATTTCCGTCTCTCTGCTGCAACTTGCAACGCTGGCTTTAGCCCTGGTTCCTGAATTGAGCTTGCTGATTACATGGGGGCCTCCCCCATCCTCTGAGCTCCCCCATAACTGACGCTGTCTGGGTCTGCCCATGCATCTCCCCTACAGTGCCCAGCATGGCATCAAGCTCAGAATGGGCACCGATGATGTCGGCTGAACTGACTCTGGGCCCCAGGTCCCTGAGGCAGGCAGAGTGAGGGCTGATTTGTGGGTCCATGCTGAGAACAGAATGCAGGACCCCTGGTTGGATGCCCACCCCAGGACCAGAGTTACCGAGCTTCAGCCCTGCCTCGGGCTGACTGTGGGACCCGAAGCAAGGTGCTCTTCCTCTCTGAGCCTCAGTGTCCCTCTCTGTCCAAAGACAGGTCCGAAAGCTCTGTGCCAGAAAGTGGACAGTGAGCAGGAAGTGGAGCCATCAGATTTTCAGCCTCCTGGAGGTGTCTTGGAAAATCCCCAGTGACCCTTGTTGCTTGAAACTCCCAGATAAGGAGATTGTGGGGCAATAAACCTGTGTGGAGTTTTGGTCAGGGCTTGATTTGGGGGATTAAACAGAAAGAAGCTCTGCTCTGTCTCCAGAAGGTCCAAGCAGGACAAGACCTTCTCAGGACAGCTGACGGCTGGACAGCTCTGTCGCCCTTGTGGTCCCGCGTGTGTCTGGCGTGTGCAGGCTGCAGCGCCCTCCACAGACTGTCCTAACAGGTGGGTAGGGCAGGGCTGTTACTATTATATGGATAGAAACAGAAAGCGAGAGAAGGGATGAGATTTGCCCAAGGTCATGGAGCGAATTGGTGTCAGAATTAGGATTCTCGGCTGGGCTCGGTGGCTCACACCTGTAATCTCAGCACTTTGGAAGGCCAAGGTGGGCAGATCACCTGAGGTCAGGAGTTCAAGATCAGCTTGGCCAACGTGGTGAAGCCCCTTTGCTCTACTAAAAATACAAAAATTAGCCAGGCATGGTGGTGCACGCCTATAATCCCAGCTACTTGGGAGGCTGAGGCAGGAAAATCACTGAACCCCAGAGGCAGAGGTTGCATTGAGCTAAGATCAAGCCATTGCACTCCAGCCTGGCGACAGAGCGAGACTCCGTTTCAAAACAATAACGACAACAACAATGAAAGAATTGGGATTCTCCAGTCTGACCAGCACACCTGCTATGACAGTGATAGGCCCAGCCCCTTGGCTCCTAGCGCCCCAGGGAGGGATTGGAAAGAAGCTGCTGGTGTGAGTGAAAGCTCAAGCCGGGAGTCAGGTTGGCCTCCCCCTGGGTACCCACAGGGCTGTAGGTGGGCACAGCAGAAGGGGAGAACCATCTAGGGTTGACAGTCCTATGGGTGTGTTGGTGGGGGAGGAAGGAAGAGAAGGAAAAAACGCAATGGGCAGGAAAGGAGGAGAGGAGGGGTGCTTCCATGAGATGAGCTCCTACTTTGTGCCGGACACATGCAAGGTCTTTTACGTACATGATCTCATTTAATCTTCTACATTCTATAAGAAAAATATGAGGATACTCTAATGTTACGGCATAGAGACAAATAGGGGTCCAGGGCTTGAATCTGGTGCCTTCTTTTTCCCTGCCTTTGACTACCTCCCCAAATGTCAGGATGGGACCACATGGGATGGAGAGACTGCTCAGTCTGAGAGCTGGGGAGGCTCCCTGGAGGTGGTTCTGTTGGAGCTGGGCCAGGAAGGTGGGGTGATAGGAAGGGGCTTTCTAAGAGCCCTGCTAAGAGCCACCCAGCGACTTACCTGGGCTGGCTTAGTTCTAGGTGGAGGGAGGGGGTGAGCAAAGATGGATTATCTGGGGAAATGATGCTTCTTTATTTTCTTTTTGCTTCTCCCCTTCTCTTTTGAAAACCATGATGCTGGCCGGGCACGGTGGCTCAAGCCTGTAATCCCAGCACTTTGGGAGGCCGAGATGGGCGGATCACGAGGTCAGGAGATTGAGACCATCCTGGCTAACACGGTGAAACCCCGTCTCTACTAAAAAATACAAAAAAACTAGCCGGGCGAGGTGGCGGGCGCCTGTAGTCCCAGCTGCTCAGGAGGCTGAGGCAGGAGAATGGCGTAAACCCAGGAGGCGGAGCTTGCAGTGAGCTGAGATCCGGCCACTGCACTCCAGCCTGGGTGACAGAGCGAGACTCCATCTCAAAAAAAAAAAAAAAAAAAAAGAAAACCATGATGCTTTGAGGGGAGAGCAGACGGACCAGTTTGTCTCAGAGAACAGGTCTGGGGAGATGAGAAGGAGGTCAGAGACTCAGGGGGAATGTAGGGACCTCAAAACCCAAGTCCAGCAGAGGACTTTATCCTGAGGCAGAGGTGACCCGGGGTGGGTTTTAAGGGAAAGTGCAGGCCCAGAGTTGGGGGTGGAATATGTGAGGCCTGAGTCCCCAAGAAAGAAGGCTGCTCAGGCCTTGGCGTGGCCTGGGAGAGGGGTAGAGAGCAGGTGGGGGCCGTGGGGGCAGGGCTGGGGAGGAGGCAGGGCAGGAGGAGGTGGCTCTGGACAGTGTCAGATGTGGGAAGGAGGCACTCCCTCAGGCCTAATCTCATCAGGAAGAAAGAGGCCTTGTCTTGGTTTGCTCTCTGACTCAATCTGTACTTCCTGTGGGCCTGCAGAGAGGCATCTGTGCTGGACCAGAAGGATGGGCGGCGCGGGGGTGGGGAAGGCGGAGACCTGAGGACAGGACTGTTTGCATTTGCTGGCTACAGACAGCTTCTGCCTCACTGGTGATGGTCGATCCCCAAAGGAGGGTCCCTGGATGGCTGCGCTCCTGCTTCCCTGCCTGGGCTGTGCTGATGGAGAAAAAGCAAAGGGCTCCTTCCCCCGCCCCTTCACCCCCTCCCAGGCCCCTCAGCACTAGGGCAGGGCGGGGCCTTCTGGCCTCCACCCGGGAAAGCCCAGCCCAGAGAGATGCACAAATGCACTCTCTTGGATTCTTTTTGATCAGTAGGAATTGTCAGCTAGCCTTCTGCATCTGTGTGTCTGTTCCCCCATCATCATGGTTCGCACCAGGGGTTGGAACTCTCACAAGCCACTCGGCCCCTGGCAGGCTGCTTTATGCTTTCTGGTTTGGGATTTTTACTTAGATCCCCAAAATGCTGGGCCCCCGGCATGTACCTGTTCTGTGTTAAATCACATCTCAGTGTCCTGTACACATTGGGACCACAACAATCTTACTAGCCAACGTCTTTTGAACACTAAGTATGCACCAAGTATCACTCTGGATGCTGTGCGTGTCACCTTATGTAAGTGTCCAGGAACCCCTGAGAGAGAGTGTGGACCTGTGACTGAACAGCCTGGCTTCAGATTCCAGCCCAGCCACTAACTATGTGATCTTAGGCAAGTTATATAACTTATCTGTGCCCTGTTTCCTCATCTTAAAAATGGGGCTATGACAGTACATGCATGAGGGTTGAGTTAGTATGTGGAACATACTTTACACCTAGTCAGCAATATAGGTGTTAGCTATTATGTGTATTTGTAGTGCCTGATTTTCCTGGTGAGGAAATAGACACATTAAGTAACTTGCCCAGAGTGGCAGATAGGAAATGATAGAGCAGCACTGTCCAACAGAACTTTGTTCAGAGATGGGTGTGTTCTTTAATTACACTGTTCATTGGGTGTTGCTTATATGGTTTCATCTGTGATTATTAAGCACATGTGGCTTTTGAGCTCTTGAAATATTGCTAGTGTGACTAAGGAGCTGGATTTTACACTTTATTTAATTTTAACTCTAATTCAGAAGCCTTGTGGGACTAGAGGTTCTGCGTTGGACAGGGCCATTTAGAGTCAAGATTAGAACCCTGACAGTCAAGCTCCAGGGCCTGGGCCACTTTTGTGCTCTCCTGCTTCTTTCTTGCTTAAATGTTTTACAGTGGAAATGTAAAGACACATACGAAATGAAACAGAAGATTCAAATGAATCCTCTTGTACCCTCACCCACTTTCAGTAGCCATCAGCAGCCTGTTTCATCTCTACTCGCTTATTCCCTCCTCCTCTGTCCAACAACCACAAGTTATTTCAAGATAAATCCCAGATGTTATATCATTTCATCTGAATGTTAGGTATATGTCTCTAAAAGATAAAGACTCTTGTCTAATATAAGCACAGTATTATTACCACGCCTAATGACAGCAATTCTTTACTACTGTCAGGTGCCCACTCAGCTTTCCCTGATTGCTTCCTGATGCCTTTTTGCAGTTGGTTTGTGTGAATCTGTATCCACTCAGGATCCGCACATTGCACTTCCT